GAGGTGGCCAGGTGACCTAATCATGACCAACGTTCAGCCTTAATATAATTTAAATTGGTGAGTTATAATAAAAATCTATAGCTGCTGGTGAGGAAAACACCATCTTCACGAGGTATTAATTAGAAAGATGTGCTTTATTTCCTCAGAGAAGGATTGTAGAACAAAACCGTCTATTTGTGACCAAGAAAGAACGTAATATACAATATATTCAGTCTTTGTGGAGTTATATTTAAAGCAGCAATCTAAGACATTCAGATCATGTGCCTTTTAGTGCATGTGAGCGGGCATTTTAGTGTATGTTAGTGCATGTGAGCATTACAGCCGATAACGGCGTCCAGAATGACAGCGTTGCCTTGGAAACGTAGCACCCCTCCCCCCCAGGTTAGCTACAAGCCGCGCCGCCATGATGAGAGCCGTTGAGAGACAACAGAAATACTCCCAAATCACGTGTTATACACCTTTAAACGAGCTCCACCAGCAGCTTACTGCTTGATGTTGTACTTATTTTGTGATTAAAAGATAAAAGTCAAAATGCCTCTAATGTAAGACATAAAGTGTGCATATATTAATATGTATATATTATTATATTAACAGTAAAGAACAAACCTGTGACGCTAAAAGTCAGAAAATGTAAAAAAAACTTTCTGTTTGGACCTGATGGTGACAGTGTGAATATGACATATATAATATTTCATCCTAATGAATAACGTATCTAATGTATGTTTATTGTCTTTGAGTTACAAGAGTGAAACGTTTTGAAATAATAAATAATAATAATAATAAACATGACCCATCTTTTCTGCTTCGTCGATCTTATTTTGTTTCAAAAATGTATTTTGTAAAATATTCTCTTGTTTTTCTGCATGTTTTAAAGTTAACCAGAACACAAAACAACTAATGATGATGATTATTAATATTATTAACAATATGATAAATACAGTGAAGTAAGTTGTATTCATTCACATTAACCAATTACAGCATTTAGAATACACATAAAGGAGAGTGAACCTTAATATTTTTGATCTTGTTATGATATTATTATGAATATTTGTCTTTTTTTAATCTCTAAACCACTTGGCGCTTACCTCCACGGCTGCTGTGCCTGGATACACCAGCAGAGAGCGGTGTTCTCTCAGTGTCAGATTTAAGTCACTGTCTATCACTTAATAAGGTGACAGAGTGTTGTTTGAGTGGATTAAATACAAAAACAAGTCCAAAGAAAAAACAGGTTAAGAAGAAGGACAAGCAGTCAGAAAAGCGAAGCAACTTGTTTTGATTTGGAAGTCACAACATGGTGCCGCAAAAGAGAACGAAACGTAGATTTTTAGCCATTCCCAGGTCGTGAAATACTAGGAATACTCAAATATACAGCATTTATTGGGACTATTGTCAGTGGATGATGATCCTCTAGTGAGTATTTGTATGTGTGATTAAATCAGAATAGACTACAGTGTGATGATGATGATGATGATGAAGGAACATGAGGCTCACTGATGCATTTTTAATAGAGCTCCAAGAGGAAGAAGTTATATCAGGAAACATTCACTGCTGGTTTAAGTCTGAACTATGAAGAAATAAATCAGCAGACCTTAAACTTCCTGGACTTTTCTGCTCTTTGTTGATATAAAAACACCATGAAGACTTCAGGCCAAACCTCCAGATCCGGAGCCCCGACCCCTCTAAACCTCCTGGATCTCGTTTGCACCTCCGGTTTACATCTGTGGGTTATTTATGTTCACATGCATTCTGGCTGGAGTGTAAACACAGGAACATGTAAACAAGACCCGAGAATCAACAAGCTAACCTGATCTCATCATGCGGTGGTGTGTTTACATGAGGGTGGTGAGGCTGTGGGTGGGAGGGGCTTGATTGGTGGTTTGTGGTTTTATTGAGAGGCAACACCAGTGGGCAACTGATCCCGAGCACAGTTTGTATATCTGAAGCTGTATCACATCATGTAGACTAGAACTCAGCTCCTTAAAGCTGCTAATCGGCCGCTTGGGGGCCAAAACAAGCTGTAAACACAACTGACTTATCATCACCTTCTATGGTCAGCTTCTATTCAAACATATGTGTATTTACAGACTTAATGCAACAAAATTATCACAATAAGGAAAGTAAAAACACCTGAAGTTGATATTGGAGGAAGATAATGAAGAATAATGTCCCCTTACCACATAGCAACATCTACTTTGATTATCCCCTTCTCGACTGTTGAATTAGAGTATTTTTTAAATGTTATTCAGAGGAAAATGGCAAAAACTACAGTATAGAAAATCCTGTCAAAATAAACAGGATTTTCTGTTGTAGAAAACATTTTATTAATATTTAGAGGTGGTTTGATTCACTCCCACCTCTTTCATATTGTTGTTTTGTCAAAGAATAAGCTGCAAAAAGTCACTGTACACCTGCTCAAGTACCTGTAAAAGTACACCGTACACTACCTGTAGTACACAGTACTTTACCTGCTCAGCAGCAAACAGCAGACAGATTCAGTTGGAGACCAGCTGGTGAACAAAGTGGATCATTTAGCAGCTAAAGAGACAGATGTTTATCTCAGGAGGTGGTGGAGACCAAAAGCAGATCTAAAACAGAGAAAACATTGGACTTATATTCATCAGGTGACTCAACACTCAGAATAAAACATGTCGATCTGTAACTGCTACATGTGGAAATAAGGATCAACATATCAACTTCATTTTTGTTATTGCAGGTTTTAAAACTAAAACCCATCAAATTATGTTCACTGTAAAATCCAAGTTCTTCTATTCTTTGTGTGCATCTATAACCTGTAGAATTACTCTCATCAGCAGTGATTCATTTATCCAGTATCAGTTGTGCCATAACACATCCTGACAGCTTTACTCACTGTGTGTTATAGGAAACTAGTGGGTGTGTTTTCTGAACCCAACAGTTTGGTCTGACGATACCGGTTTCACGGCTCAAAGGAAAAGAATCCAAAGCACGACTGTGGGCTGGAGGTGTTTATGTTGAAGTGGCTGGTCTCTGCACACCTTATAGGGCTGAGTGTGCTCATTACAGTTTGGTCAATAACAGACTGTGCGGTGTGTTCAGGGGCCTGTTTGTACTGCAGGGTTAGAGGGTCTTTCTGGAGGATGTCCCAAACCAGCAAAATACACAATCAGGGTAAAAAATGCCAACAAGCTTTTGGCTAAAGTTGGATTTACTTAGTCGCAATGTTTATGCTCTTTACTGAAAAAATCTTTCCAAGTTGGTGGAAACAATCTTAACATCTGCATCCTCCAAAAACCGTGGTTTGATGTAGTTTAGGCAACATTTTTAAAGAGTGCATACATTATTTTATAAATTCAGGAAAGCTGCATTAGCAATAGCATCGGAGGAACAGTGGTCACAACTAGACCTGCAGCAGCACTGATTTAAAACCATTTTAAAACCAAACAACAACAGAAAAATTACCAAATTAATTAAATGGAGTGAAAAAGAAAAAGGCATTTTCCACTTACCTCACTCAATTTATTCTGCTTCCACCTCAATAGGATTAGTTTGTGGTGTCCTCTGCATTTTAATATTGATATAAGGAATATCTGGAATAACATGTACAAATAGCAGCCGCTTCAAATGTTATCAGCTGATTAAATGGCCGTTATTTCATAACATTGTCGGTGCAGTTTAATAACTGCTGATAACAGTCAGAATGAGTGGATATAGATTTTCTGTTGAATGTAGGATTGTATTGTAGTAATGAAGTTCTCTAGTTTCAGGAAGATAGATTTGTGAGTCATCTGCGTATAAATTATAATTTATATTTCTATGTTTTTTTTTAAGATGTGACCATTGTAACCATTGCAGACGGAACAAAGGTGGTCCAAGTATTGATCCCTGTGGAACACCATATACAGTAAACATATATATATATTAGTGCTGGGCAACAATTAAAATATTTAATTGCGATTAATCGCATTGTTATGGCAAAGTTCAATAATGAATTCAAAAGTAGTGTATTGCGCAGTTATCTTGAAAGTACTGCTATATGAACTAAAGGGCAATAACATTTGGTTTGAACACTTTAAACAAATAAGGTTCTTGTTAACAGCAGTATTCCCTTTACACAGTAGCAGTTATAACACAGTTATAATGATTCTGATCATAGATATTCAGCCTGTGTTCATAACTTTATCTTCATGTGTATAAGAGATGCAATTTAAATATACACCTTGAAAACTGCAAACATATCTACGTCATGTTTTTGTTTGTTAAATTCTCAGTAGCGATAACTAAATGATGCTTATTATACATATTACAAACAAAACACTTTAAAAACTCGACAATATGTATTTTAATATTGTCACTGTTGTAAATTGTTTGATTGCATGATTTACTTTTATTGTGAAGAGCATGAAAACGGAAGTGCTTTTACTTTGAAGAGACAGGAAGTAGAATTGTACGTGTTCTTGATGCTAACAATGTTGATGAAACGTAGAAAACCACATGTCAGGTGCAAGAGCGCGTTGTGTTCACTGTAACACTGTAATACTGCAGTTCAGACAGTAAAGTGTTCCGTTCAAACAAGACGTGTCTTGTTCCTCACGAGAAGCTCCACTTCACAACAGTCACGTTTGACCTGTAACGAGACGATGGCGCGTGCGTGCGTGTGTGTGTGTGTGTGTGCGTGTGTGTGTGTGTGCGTGTGTGTGTGAGACAAGAGTGAAGGACGGTGACGGAGTGTAGGAGGGGTTCTGGACCCGGGGGGGAGAAGGAAGTGACGCCACACGAACACAGCTGTTCACTGCTTGCTGCCTGTTTCTTGTGTTAAAAATGTCGCTTAATAATAAAAAAAATTTAAAATGCCTTAACGCGCGATAATATAATTGTCGGCGTTAATTAATTAATGCGTTAACGCGATAATAACGCGTTAACTTGCCCAGCACTAATATATATAATATATATAAATTTGTATTTTTAAACCAAATCTCCGTCTTTCTCACATGAACAATAATTTAAATTATAAAACAGCTTTTTTTATTTTGACTACACAAAAAATAAAAAGCCTAAGCGCATTATTTTAGGCAAATAAAAATATGTATAATAGTACGAACAACAGTAGTGTTAGCAGTACTACTCACAGCTGCAGTGATAGTAGTACAATGTGCAGAAGTACCAGTACTGTAATAGTACGGCAACAGTAGCAGTAGTAGTACCAATTTATAATTCTTGTACTTGTAATTTTTTTTGTTGTATAAACAGTAGAAGAAATATTTGTGGCAGCAGTAAACCAACCAGTATTTGTAGTAGCAGTACTAGTATGAATGTGTTCAAGTATAGTAGTATTTACACTATTAGCCAAATCAATAGTACCTCTCTTTCTCTGGCTTCTTTGTGTATTTATGTGTATTAGTACCACAAGCGGAAACAGCACAGTGGTGGTGGCAGTATCAGTATACACTAAAACGCTCAGCAGTACCATTAGTAGTAGAAGTATTTAAAGTAGTAGGAGTACTACTCTCGGTAGTACCATCAGTGTTAAACGGTTCCTTTCTCACCTGAAAAATATAAAACGTCTTTTTGACGATAAAAAAATAAAATGCCAAAGCGCATTATTTTAGACAAATAAAAATGTGAATATAAATTATAATAATATTCAACAGGAGCAGATGGAAACAAGCATTTTTCATATTTTATTTTGAAAATCTTCTGGAAATTACGACAAAGAACAGGTGAGCTTACCTGCAGTCGTGCTCCCAGTCGCAGGATGTCCTTATCGATCTGCTTAATACGAGACACGCGGTCCTGAACACACACACACACACACACACACACACACACACACACACACACACACGTCAGGTTTGGGTGTGGCGGTTCACACAGGTGAACCAGCCTCCAGGTGTGATCTCACCTGAGCTCTCCTCTCCATCTCCTGACAGGAGCCCAGCTGCTCCTCCATCGCTGAGCGGATCTGACGGGCCTCGAACTCCAGCTGACGGCGACTCATGTCCGTCTGCAGAGTGAACTGACACAAGAAAAACTCTCGTCACGCATAAACCTCGCCCAGAGCAGCCGGGGCTTATGGGTATTGTAGTATTTAGAGACGGGACAACAACAAAAAACGTGTAAAAAGAGTGTTTACGTTCTCGGTGAGCGGCAGGCTGTCGATCCTTTTGGTGAGATTCTGCAGCTGAGCGTAGTACCAGTCCTTTTCCTTCTCCTCCTTCTCCAGCTCAGCCAATAGGAGAGACCTGTCAGGGAGCAGCAGCCAATCACAGAGCAGAGATAGAGAGGAGCCAATCAGAGAGAGAGAGAGAGAGAGAGAGAGAGAGAGAGAGAGAGAGAGAGAGAGAGAGAGAGAGCGACAGAGAACATTTTAAATCCAACAGTACTACTATAAATATTTTTCTTGTATTATTTAATGTAGTTTCTATCAGATATTGCAGTATCAACAGCAGCAGTATTGCAGTTTTGTCAGTACTCTCAGTGGTACTGTCAGTAAGTCACTAGCTACAGTATTGAAGTACCATCAGTACTCTCAGTAGTATTATCAGTACTGTCAGTAGTACTATTAGTACTCTTAGCAGTACCTCTCTTTCTCCAGCTCCTCCAGGCAGCGGTCATGGCCGTCTCTGCCCGCAGTCGGCACCCCTCTCCTGGGAAAGCCGGTGGTGGTCGAGGGGCCAGGAGCTCCGGAGCCTCCAGCTGCTCCTCCAGCTCCAGAACCAGAAGAGGCCGAGCTGGGGGAGGACGAGGGGGGCTGAGGAGGCCTCGAGCGGGCCTTAAACCCTGCAGACTCCAGGCTCATCTCTGGAGGAGAGACACAGTTATCAGGTTACACAGAATGTGTGTGTGTGTGTGTGTGTGTGTCTGTGTGTGCGTGTATATAAATATATGTACAGATATTTCTGTTTGTGTGCCTTTACTTTGTTCACCTTTCAGTCTTTCGATGAGCTCCAGCTGAGAGCCAGACGCCTCTCCGGAATCTTCTTCTATGGTGCCCTGTAGCTGCTTCAGCACTTCCTGTTTTACACAAGTTAAGAAAATAAAAGCGGTAGAGCGTTGAATCACAAGTGTATTTTTCTGGTCTGCTGATAGGGAGGCACAAAATAAAATCCTGATGACACAACAACACAAATATCAATCATATTAATACATGAATCTCTCTCTCTCCGGCTGTGTCTCTCGCCCAGTTTTTCAGAGTAAATCCTCTTTTATTGACTCACCACGATGAAGCGACAGCGTTCATACAGCGACATGATGGAAACTAACACTACTCACACTGTCCATGTGTGTTTCTGCTCATCGACAGTAAACAGGAAACAGGAAACAGGAAACGGGAAGTGAGTGTGAAGTTTAGAGAGGAAGGACAAGGACAACAAAGAAAAATAAAACTACAAGTTAAAAGACAACAAGCACACAGAGAGAGATCAACAGAAACAATGAGAACGGAAGAAAAAGAGTCAGAACATGAATTAAAGTAAGAAAAACTCAAACAATAAAAGTTGGAAAGGAACTAAACATGAACAAAACGCGATAAATGAAAAACAAAGACACACAGAGGATGGTTGAAAGAGAGTAAGCATGAAGAAATGTAAACAGAAGAGGAAGTAAAATACAATAAACAGGCGACAGAAAGAAAGACAACAGAAGAAGAAGAGAGGACAGACTTCTCACTCTGACGGGTTTCCTGAGTCCTCTCTGGGAGAACCAGAGATCCTCAAACACCTCACTCTGAACAACAACAAGGAACTCATTCTGAGGCTCATGATTGGTGGAAAATAGCACAAGTCTATTCTTGGCCAAAGAGAGAGGGAGAGAGAGAGAGAGAGAGAGAGAGAGAGAGAGAGAGAGAGAGAGAGATGTTCCTTTCTGTACTTAAATACTAATAATCTGTAGTATTAACAAAACTAATACTCAAATTACTGCTGTCAGTATTCCCGTCAGTAGTACTAACATTAGCAGTATTTGAGTAGTACTGTGAGCAGTATGCGAGTACCATGAGTACTGACCTTCATGTTGGAGGCCTCACTCTCCAGTTGGGTCAGGTGGTTGGAGTTGTCCTGCAGCTCCTGTCGTAAATTACAGTTCTCCATCTTTAACACCTCCACCTGTCTCAGCAGCTGGTCGTAGGACGCTGCCGCCATGTTGGAGGAGCCACGTCACACCTGTACACAACACACAGGAACCATCACACACTGGGACTGGAGTACTAGAGTACTGGGAGACAGTGGGACTGTAGTACTGGGAGACAGTGGGACTGTAGTACTGGGAGACAGTGGGACTGTAGTACTGGGAGACAGTGGGACTGTAGTACTGGGAGACAGTGGGACTGTAGGACTGGGAGACAGTGGGACTGTAGGACTGGGAGACAGTGGGACTGTAGGACTGGGAGACAGTGGGACTGTAGGACTGGGAGACAGTGGGACTGTAGGACTGGGAGACAGTGGGACTGTAGGACTGGGAGACTCGGGGACATCAGCAGTGTAGTACTGTAATACTGGAGTACAGTGGGCCTGTAGTACAGCTGTGTAATTCATTAGATAACGTTAGCTCAGCACTAACGCAGAGAATAGTGACCGGCTCTCAATCTCAATCAGTCGCTTTGACCCAAAAATACATTCAGAGATCATCTGAACTCCAAACAGAGCTGACTCACAGTGGCAGCGAGCGTCACAGTGAATCAGCGAATCACAGAGATCCGCTGTGACAATCAGCCAATCGGCTCGTCGAGTATTCAAGTCCACGTATTCTTGTTGTTACGGTGACACGTGATTGGAGGCTCGAGAGGCCAATAGAGACGAAGAAAAGAACCACATCTCAGCCATAGCTTCTCCTGTTTGATACGAGTATTCCCTCTCACTGCATGTATTAAATACTTCTTCTTATACTACAGAGAAGCCTGTGTGTGTGTATCTGTGTGTGTCTCAGCATCATGTGATGTTTCCTCTCCGTTACAAACACTGATGTCACTGTTTGACTGTCACATGATTCACCAACTGATCACAACACACACAAGTTTAATGTACAATACTACAAAAATGTAGTACCACAACACTGCACGTCATCTACAGAGAACTACATATCACCTACAGAGAACTACAACTCCCACACATCCTCCCATTGAACAGCTTCTCCATCATCAATAATAAATCAATAATATCATTGTGGTGTGAAGATCAAACACAGTCTGATCGTGGATCAGCTGGAACATTAAAGTACAACAATAGAAAACAATCTCTGCTCCTCATCATCATCATCTTCATCATCACCACCCTTATTTTATTTCCTCCCTCCGCTTCAATCACCGGTCGGCCATTTTCTCTCCCTCCATCATCCCTGCCTCCCCCCCTTCCTCTCTCTCTCTCTCTCTCTCTCTCTCTCTCTACAGGAAACACACACATACACAGCACAAATCAAATCCACCAAAGAAGAAGAAAAACACAGCAGAGAGCAGACAATGAGAGAAGAAAAGAACAACCTCCCGCTTATCCTCCATCCTACCCGGACCCCTACCCCCCCTTCCCACCCCCCCCCCCCCCCCCCCCCCCCCTCAATAATCCCTTTGACATGAAAATAAAAACATCGACAGAGGACGATGGATGAATAAAGAAAGAATAGATTGTGGATTGAGAAACAGAAAATGGCAGCTCACCCCATCGCTGTAGCCTCCATCACCCTCCCTGTCTCTCTCCCTCTCTGTGTGTCTGTCTGACAGAGAGCAGTCAGCTGGGCAAACAAGCAGCCAATCAGGAGGCAGAGACAGTGAAGAGGGGGGAGGCTGCCTCTCCCTCCTCCTGCTGCTGCTTCCCAGAATGCTTTGCAGCAGTTGCTGCAGGCAGACTGACTGGGTTACTGACGCGCGCACACGCACACGCGCACACACACACACACACACACACTGCAGTCTGATCAATATCGGACTCTCTTCATGTATTAATGCTAGTCTAGGTCCTCTGATTAATACCATATATACACATACACATATATATATATATATACACATATATATATACACACATACATATATATACATACATACATACATACACGTATATATACATACACGTATACATACATACACGTATATATACATACATATATATATACATACATATACATACATACATACACATACATACATACATACACATATATATACATACATACACACACATATATATACATACACATATATATACATACATACACATATATATACATACATA